AWYTAWSMWATCAAWYAWWTMWTTMAWTMAATCAATCAAWKMAATCAAWAAATMWAWYYAATCAATWAATCMATCAATCAATCAATAGTTAACCTACCTTAACAGTTATTTCAATTGTGAATGCCGTTGTAAAAAAGTAGTCAAAATAATTTAATATCTGAAAATAAATTCAAAAAATACCTTAACTGAAACAACGTTGCGACAATTCCCCAAACAGGACGGATTCACGACGATTCAGTCCAAATTCATTACAAAAACAATTTTAGAGTGAACGCACTTAATCCTTGCAACTGTACAAAATCTAAGTAGTATTAATTTGTACTAAAAGTGGACCTGAAGCAAGAAGGTATTGAATGCTTCATTTGAAGCAATTCAATTTAATTTGCGTACCGCATGCACGATTTACTAAATAAAACTAAAAAGCACTATTTGTTTTGTACAGTTGCACTGATTAAGTGCGTTCACTCTAACGACAGTTTGTTGTTAATCTTGACTAAATAGTGCACTCTATTTCTCTACTTACTTGATTTCGCTTAGAGTTGGCATTAAGAGGGTCCTCAGCAGCAAGTAAAGCGCTACTAACGATGATTAATATCAAGATGAAATTCACGAAGTAGATGTTGGTAACAAACTTATGACACAGTATACGAAAACTGAAAGTCAACCACACAAAGAAACGCATTACAATGACATGACTGTGAAATCTCTGGTAGGTTGATGATAGGAGTAACATAGGGAGAGAAGAGAGAAAGGAAAGAGCGAGGGCCAGTTGTATTAAGGATGAATAGAAGTGTTCACTTGATAAATCCTTATTCAGCGGATAAAATCATACAACAATCTATGGAGTGGATAACAGCTTTTTCCAAACTTCGTATAAATTTCATAGTGTACTTTGCCGCATCAAATAAAATAAAACCTAACTTTTATTAAACACCAAGGTTGATGCAGCAAAGTACACTTTGAAGTTAAATCCAACCTACAATCATCTTTTTAAATTCGTATAAATTGTCAAATAAACTGCATTGAAGGAGTGGGAGGGTTCGGAGGGGGGAGTGGGAGGGTTCGGGGGGGGTGGTGTAATAAAGAATCTTAAGAGAAAGTAAGGAGAACACAACATGAAAAAATCTAATAAATGAATGGAAAAGGATTGAAAATAAAACAAAAAACGTGAAGAAAGATGGGACACTATAGAATTGTTATCTTCAATTGAAGACAAGAAACAGGAAGTGAATCGCAATTTAGTCTCTAACCAGTTTGTACTGGAGAATATGAACATAGAGCTTTCTAGAGGCATGGGTTCACGATCCAGGTTCTCATCTGTTGATGTCGTACTTCTTACAGAGTGCGTTGATCCTGCAAAAAAAGAATCGAAATAATCTGTGAGGATATCTTTAGTTAATGCAAGTATAGTTGTCCTTGGTGACAAGAATTTCCGCGCTGCTTCGCACCCAGAGGTGCATAAGGACTTAAAGACCAGAACAGTGATTATCATTAAGACACATTCACGAATTCCCATACAACAAAGCATAGAAACCATGCAAATAGTATTCTTACTGTCTAATGTGATCTTAGATCCTTTTTCGTGAGACTGAGATTCGACATCACCCTCAGATATTGCCTGAAAATAAAAATAAATAAATAAATAAAAACACAATGCACAATGTTATTCAATTTCTTATTCAGACAATGATTTGACATATATCGCCCATGTGCATCATAGAACCTTTGTGAAATATTCTCTATGATACTAGCTCACAAGAGTTCCCAACCACCCAGATAAAGCCATTTCGAAATTAAAGCCCAACGCACACGAAAAGAGAGTGTGTAAGAGAAATTCCACGCGAGTCGATTTGAGGAGCGTGTGTACTCCAATTTTTGCTGTTCACGGTGAGCAAAACGCTGTTCAAAGCGACTCGCGTGGCATTTCCCTTACGCACTTTCCTATCWTGTGGTKGTCTAAATAAAGACACTAAGATTATTTTAGACTATATACATACCCTTGGGATGCCATTCCCGTTTGAGTGGAGCTCTTGAGATGCCTTCGATAACGCTCTGMGCAAAAAGAAAAATGATCAACAACCACTCAAYATTACACCAATAAACATCAATCAAGGAGTACCCTTTAGTTGGTGACTCAGACAGACTACTTCTCGAACTCTCTAGTTCCTTCTTTTCCTCTTCTTTCTTCTTCTTTTCATTTTCCATTTCTGTTAAGCTTTCTGCATCAGCTAAGTTATCCACGGCGATGGCCAAGAATACGTTTAGTAAAATATCTATTTAAAGTTTAGGAAAATGCAAAAGCAGTAATCGTTTTGATAATAATTTAATTAACTTTATGAGGAGAACACTTTGCAGTTGATAAACTAGTGGTCCTCTAACGAGCAGGAAAAAAGTCATAAACAACATAGTGATGACATCAAAGTACAATATAGCAACAACAGTATCAAAAAATGATGGAGGACACGACCAAACGGCAATAGCTACAACAATCAAATATAATGGAGGACACGACCGTAGCAACATTAATAAACTCAGACGAAATGTAAACTTTAACTCAAGGATACAATTTCCAACAATCACAAGAAATATAAAATATAAAATAGGTATAACAGATGAAGAATCGGTGATTCCACCCCAGGATAGTATTCCAATATACATTATTGCATTCCAGTCCTCTCCTGTTAGGATCTGAAAATAAAGCAAGAATGGTTTAGCAATGAGGCTTGCAATAGGCAAGGTCGAGCGACGCCATTTTGTGAAATAAAACATGACAGTAGTTGTTGCCCGCGCGCTTTTTCATATCCGCTAAAACAGTACTTATGAGCTGCTTTTGCTTTTTCTCTAAAGTGAAATAAAAACAAGTTGTGCCGTTTCAACAAAGAAAATATTAAAACCGTTTCATGCAGTTTTAAGGAGATTCTTTAGGGGATATGGAGGACTACAACTCCCATCATGCTTTGCTGTACAAAATGGCGTCGCTGCACATTGACTATTAAGGAGAGTTACACAAGCACTAAGGAATAAATCCAACGATAAAAATTGTAAAAAAAACATTCATCTAATTAATTATAATGTTTTTCTTACTTGGAAGACTGTAACTATAGCTCGCCAAAAAGAGTCAAAATTACTTCTAGGGACTTCAGTATCGTCTATATTAAATCTGTGGAGCAGTATTTCATACAAGAGTTAATATATTAATATCTGTCTGCTTGCCTCCCGGTATGCAACTGGCTATCTGTTTGTCGGTCAATCTGCCTTTCTGGCTGTCTGAATATTTAACCATCTCTCTGCTTGTGTATATATCTGTCTAAAATTCTAAGCCTTCCTTGTTTTCTCGTTTTTCTTGGCCTATCGATTTACACTGGCTGTCTTCTTRATTTTTAGAATGAATGTTAGCGTCTCTTTTGCTGTCAAACTGTCTGAATGTTGTTGCTATTGCTGATGTTGTTGTTGCTGCTTTTGTTTTTGTCGTTGTCGTTGTTGTTGCTGTTATTGGTGTTGGTGTTGTTTTTGTCGTTGTTGTTGCTGTTGCTGATGTTGTTTTGTTTTTGTCGTTGTTGTTGCTGTTGCTGATGTTGTTGTTGTTGTTTTTGTCGTTGTTGTTGCTGTTGCTGATGTTGTTGTTGTTTTTGTTATTGTTGCTGCTGTTGCTGATGTTGTTGTTGTTTTTGTCGTTGTTGTTGCTGTTGCTGTTGCTGCTATTGGTGTTTGTGTTCTTATTGATGATATAATTATATATAATGTTGGAATTTTAT